TTTACAGGCCGTAATCCCAAAGACTAAACAACCTCAGTCAAAAAATGTAGTCACTTCGGAGTATTAAGGTGCGACAGAAATTCAAGCTTGAGTTCACTTTACTCTTATAAGAGTACCTCCCTCCCGCACCTAACGCTTAAATGAATCCCAGCGGAACTCACCAGCTTCTCTCAACAACCTCACAGCGTTGGCAATGCGCATATAGACGTCTCTTCTAAGATTGAAACCCTCTCCATGATTAATGTCATAAATTAGAAACCTCGTATCCCGAGCTACCGAATATTTGTCGTTATTTACCAACGATACTGTGTCTCGTTCACACAGAGATACAACGGCAAAAAATCCTACAAAAAGCAAAGACATCCACATCTAAACGATACCTGCAATTGATTTCTAATCAACCTTTAGAATGCTCATTTTGTGCATAAAATCAATTGATGGAAGTATCAGTTAAGCACTGTTTCACTGAAAGTCGTTTCTCGAGAAAGGAGAACTCTTCATATGACTAGAGTGATGACGTATCACATCGAGAACAAATCATAGCTCGAATCACGAATTACACGAAATAAAATGCGAGTTGATATGTACAATAAGAACTACTGCTAATGATATTTAAAGCAGTTTAGTAAAGCGAAAGGAAAGCTGCTGGAGAGTAACGACTAGATGTGAGAAAGCAGGATTTGCAAGCAAACGAGATAGAAATGAGAATCTTGGTATACAATACTAAGATAGGAGTGTTGAATCAGCGGCAAACTGAAACTATCACTTTTTGTTGATAAACCGAGTTGCAGCTGCTTTTCCGTGCTTTGCTAGGGAGCCCGTGGTTGAACGGGGAAGGGTGTTACATGCTGCTGCAGAATGTGCAGAAGACTCTTCATGCTAAAAGTTGCCATTAGCGTTGCAGCAAGCGAGTGAACCATTAAACTTACATGACTATGAGTCAATGACGTTGGCAATCCCGTAAGTGTATTGTAGTGCTCCCCGGATGAGTCACCATGCTCAGTTTCCAAATAGGAAATTGCTAAAATCAAGCAGATTAGGAGCTATTTTAGATAACCTTTGACAAAATTCTTTAGATTAAAAAAAACCTGACGTGATACTTGCGTAGATCATTTATAAACTTGAAATCTCAAAGTTTTTGGTCTAGTCTTAAGCTTGCAGTACACGTTCCTTGCATGCAACCTTGGAAGGAGGATCATGGTCTTTCAAAATAAACATATTGCATATCAATGACTTGTGCTGCCTTGCTATGCACTTATCTAAAAATTTTGACTATTAGTCTAAATTCGATTTTCAAAAATATAAAAATGACTATAGTTTCGTTCAATCTGCATTGAAGCATGAGATTCGATTTAATTTAACGGAGATTTAAATGGAACTTCATGCTCCAGTCAAATCAGAACCGAGATCAAAGCAGTTATGACAAAAAATAACGTTCTTGTTGCCATAAATTTTCTCCATCTACTAAATAATAAATATTTCTGTAATACGGATAGGTTTAAAAATAGCACTGTGTTAGAATAAGTATAAAATATTTCCATGTTGTGTGCATTTGATTTTTAAGCTAGTATTTTAATTGAAAATATAGGCCAAACCACATCCAGCTTATGCGTTTGTGCTTTAGACATATGGACGACTAGCAACTGACGAAACTTCTCGGAAAATTTTAGTGGAGTATCAAGATAACCAAGTGATTTCGTAGCAAATTCACACATACAAAGGATCTCCTACGAAATAGAAACGACAAACTTACATTTTGACATGCCTCGATTCTGTCCACCATACATTTCGCTAGCCACTCTAATCTTGTGGATCCACCTAAATAATCTTACAACCTATAAACAGTAAACAAGATATACCTCAACAAGAACTGCGTTCACTTTTCTCCAAAAAAATTTTGACAAGATTTGAAGACTTACTTCATATTATTTTTTGACAAAAGACAAGTAAAAAAAAACCTTACGTTCTCATGTCGGTTTGACTGTAACACGAGAAGTGGTGCTCCATTGGTGGTCTTGACAAGCGGAAAACGCTGAAAAGGTTTTTTAAAGCAGACGAACTCCTTTTATTGACTATTGACGTACAACTTCTTTGATGTTTTAAGCTCCGTCTCATCTGACACCATGCACTTCGCAATGTTAATAATCATATCTGCTCGACGAGTCTGAGAAATTAGTTTAATAATCACTTTCCTCTGAAATGAATCAAAACTTACAAACTGGTTGGGATAGATGTTGAGAAACGGTCCTCGCAGGCACATCCAACATTTCGGCCATTTGTTTGTGACTTCTTTGGCAAACAACTCCTTTGCAGTTTTTCTACAATGAGGATACTTATCAGAAGAAGTCGATAGGAAATTTGTTGTGTACCTTCTTCTAACCCAGCCTTCAAATGCTTTTTCTGCTGTTCTTATATCAGGAGTGCCAGGAGTTGTTGGAGAGTCCTCATTGTGCCATTCCCCAGAGGCAGCAAGCCGGAATGGATTCGGGCTAGCTATAGACATGGAACTAGCAGAGGCAGGACTAGGCAACATGAAATCCTCTCCCGCTGAAGAAGTCGTGTACCTACAAAATAAAATTTGTTTCTTCA